AAATGTATCCCAGAGTAGCCAGCTTCTTGCTTCAGAGCGGGTGCAGAGGTGAGGGCAACGTGCTTCATACATGGTGGCCCTGTCGGCAAGCACAATGTTTGTGGATGAAGGTCAATACCAGGGCTATGGAATCAAAATTCACGGAGGTCCAAGCAGTAACGTCTTCTTCCAGCAGAGGTCTGGATCTCATGTTTGACCAATGACTCAGATCCTTCACATCACAGAACCCTCTCCTATGTCACACTCCTGGTCTGACACCAGTGTCCTCAGTCCACCCTGCATATCACAATCCCCCCCTTTATATCACAGTCCCCCACTTCATAACAGTGTCCTCAACCCCCCCTTCACATCATCACACCCCCCCCCGGTAGTGTCCTCTGCCCCTTTCACATCACCTCCGCCGATAATAGTGCCCTCTGTCCCATTCACATCACCTCCACCCCACAGTAGTGCCTCCTGCCCCCCCTCACATCAATCCCCCCACTGTATTGTCCTCTGCCCCCTTCACATCACTCCCCCACAGTAGGGTTCTCTGCCCTCCTTCACATCAACCCCCCCAGTAGTGTTCTCTGTCCCCCCTTTACATCACCCCCCCCCAAAGTAGTATCCTCTGCCCCTCTTCACATCACCCCCCCCCCCCCAGTATTGCCCTCTGCCCCCTTCACAAAATCTCCCCCTACAGTAGTGTTCCTTACCCCCCCCCTTTCCACGCCCCCAAAGCAGTTTTCTCTGCTCCATTCACATCACCTTCCCCCACAGTAGTGCCCTCTGCCCCCTTCACATCATCTCCCCCCCCACTGTAGTGTCCTCTGCCCTCTCCATATCACCCCTCGCCCCAAAGTAGTGTTCTCTGCCCCCCTTCAAATCACCTCCACACGATAGTATTGTCCTCTGCCCCCTTCACATCACCTCCACCCCACAGTATTGTCCTCTGCCCCCTTCACATCACCTCCACCCCACAGTAGTGCCCTCTGCCCCCCCCCCCCTCACATCAGTTCCCAGCAAGTATTGTCCTCTGCCCCCTTCACATCACCTCCACCTCTCAGTATTGTCCTCTTCCCCTCCTTCACATCACCCGCCCCCACAGTGGTGTCATCTGCCCCCCCTTCACATCAATCACCCCCCCAGTAGTGTTCTCTGCCCCCTCAAATCACCCACCCCCCAAAGTAGTGTCCTCCCTTCACATAACCTTCTCCCCACATTTGTGTCATCTGCCCTCCTCCACGTCACCTTCCCCAGCAGTAGTGTGTTCTGTTCCCTGCTTATCACCCCCCCCCCCCCCCCCCCCCCCCCCCCCCCCCCCCCCCCCCCCCCCCCCCTCCCGTAGTGTTCTCTGCTGCCTCACATCACCCCCCATCCCCCCCCCACACCCCTTCACATTACCCTAAAATAGCAGTAATGCTTTCTGCCCCTTCATATCACTCCCTTATCTACCCCCCTCATTCACAGTGGTGTTCCTTGCCCCCCCCCCCCAACCACACTCAAGCTCTCTGTACATTTACATCAAACATCCCCCTATCTTGGCCAGCTCCCTCTCTTCATCCAATGCTACCGTGCCTCTCACTCTCTGTCTGCCCTGCCTCTCGCTCTCCGCTCTTTTGTGTTAATGAGAGTGGAGGGGGCTGGGGGACAGAACTGGCTCCTAAATGGCGTGACTGCGGGTCCGGATGGGACAGTGAATCTGTCCAGATCTGGATCATGGTCTTCCATTTAGTGATGCCTGGCTTATACAATGATTTAACTCAGTACTACAAATGGGGGGGGGGGGGGATTTACTAAACTTGGTGCATGCAGAATCTGGTGCTGCTGTGCATAGTAACCAATCAGCTTCTAACTTAAACGTGTTTAAATAAGCTTTGACAATAAGACCTAGAATCTGATTGGTTACTATGCACAGCTGCACCAGATTCTGCATGCACCAAGTTTAGTAAATCTCCCCCATAATGTTCATAAAGACTCATGGAAAGCATCCTCCACAAACTAAATAAACCAACAAACTCAAGTGAGCTGCCAACAATCAATGGCAATAAAAAGCTGCTGCAGACACCAAATGTGTTCTCACAAAAACAAAGCAATAAATGACATAAAAGTGCTGCACTGCCTCTTATCCACCAAGGCACATTTATAAATGGCATGGAAGACAAGTGGTTAAATCAAGCTCATAGTTACTGCTGCAGTTGTGAGCTTGGTAATGGCTTTAAGGCCTTGTCCACATATTGCGTAGTGGAAATGAGCATTCCCTCTATGCAATTTTCAAAGCGATTCTGCGTGTCGCATAGGGCCAACCCAGTCACTTGAATGGGCGTTTGCTGCCCAAAGAGAAGTTCCTGTCGTGCGACAACCGTTGCATCTCGTCTGGTGTGTCATTAAATGATAATGGCACCCAAACGCGCATCTCATGTTGCGTAGTAACTATCACATGACCTGGAATCACAGGCAGAATCGAAGTGTGAATGGAGCCTTACAGCCAGCAAAGGGCTTTCCAATAATAGTGATGGGGTGGCTCTAGAGCACCTACAGTGATTCCCATGTTTTCCTGTTCCTCCAGGGAGGGATCTCAGGACTGTGGGAAAAAGCTTCCCCGCTGAAACAGGAGGAACTAGAAGAATATCCCCCAATCCTTGTGACAAATGACCCCAGAAGTAATGTGTATTACATCACTTCCAGTGTCACAGCTGTCATTTAGTGTAGCCAAGGATGCAGCTATTCAAATACAATTTGTGTTTGAATAGCTGCTTTGGCTCTAATAGACCCCCAATGTCTCCATAAAGAGTACCCTTGCGACAGCAATAAAGTAAAAAAAAAAGTAAAAAATGTAAAAAAAAAAATAATATATATATATATATATAAAGGATTGATAAATAAATAACCCCCGTACACACCTCATATAAAAAGCGCAGAGTAGGGTAAACACATGTATCTAAACTGCACTTGCGCCACACATATGGGGTATCATGAACATTGGAGTGAGAGTAATAATTCTAGAGCCATAGTTCACAGTGAACTCTAAACTGATAACCTGTAAATGCTTTTAAAGCGTTGCTCATGGAGAATTTTGGGTACCATAGTTCTGGCAATTCCACGGTCGTACGCAATTTTAAGACTTGATATATTTGGTATCTATACTTAACACAACCCCATGTTTTATATTTTACCAAAAATTGCTTATATAATTGTGTTTGTTTGCGCTAGCATTCATTTTAGTGTACTTTTTCCTGAAAATATGTGTTTGATAAATAACTGTGCAAATATCAGGTAGTTCTTCATCTTTGTGAGGTTTACAATAATTGCGTGCAAAAACAAAATAAAAAATTGCCCTGGTAGGCAAGTGGTTAATTAAAGAAGAATAGATTAAATCAGCCGCTGGATTGCTTTTACAAGCGACAGTAAGTGGACAACAGGCATGCACAGTTTTCAAGCATATCATGTTTGCTATCTATTTACTCAATGTAAAATCATCTTTTATATTTTACCAAACAATTGGGTATTATATTGTGTTTTTGTGCATTCAAATTCTTAATTTTTTTCTTTCTTCCAAAATAATTGCATTAGAAAAACGACTGCGTGTGACATAAAAAAATTGTAACACCCACCATTTGTATTCTCTAGGGCCTCTGCTTTAAATAATATATAAAGCTTGGGATATTAAGTAATTTTCTAGCAAAAAATACTCATTTTTTGCATGTACAAAATAGGCCTGGTCTTGAAGTGGTTAAATCATAGCTGAACACTCAATGGTATTCACAAAGAAACATCAACACAATCATGGCAGAGACTGAGTTCCCTGGGCTCATGGTAGACAAGGATCCAGATCTTATATTTTTTATTGGTAAAAAACAATCTGTTATTACATAGTAGTAAAGAATGTTTCTACTATGAAGGGTTAACTGAATGCAAGACTTGACTATTGTTGGTGTAATAGCTCAGCAGATACAGATTTAAACACAAATAAGAAACCCAATAGAATCCAGACATAATGACAACATATAACAGCAGATTAAAACTACAAGGAAAATAACAACACTTAGAATACACACTTGAAATAAACAGTAGAGCTTAGCCTTGGACAGATAAAGTGGAGGAATATTTCTACTACAAAGTAGCAGCTTATAGTCTTTTATATTTATAGGCTCTAGTAAATGCTGTGTTTTCCATTTGAATGGATGCAGCTGTGTTGGAATAGAAAACACAGCAACCGACTTGAACTCCCATCGACATGAACCCTTAGGGATCATGCACACACATTTGCCCTTGCAGCGCAAAGAACAGTTTTATTTCCGTACCCAGAAATCACAGGCGGTGCGTACAGAAAGCTGGCAGCAACCTGTCAAAATCAATAACAAGCTGAAATTTGCAGCGGCTGTATGCACATCCAAGCAGTAATCGCATGCAGGGGGGCCATATGCAGAAAGTCCACATTTGAGGCATACGCTTCTGTATGCAGCAGGCTGTACTCTCCTTCTGTGACTCCCAGGCATCAAAGTACGCCCATTATTTATAATGTAAGGGGTCTATGGGCAGGAGCCCTTAAATGCATCTGTGGGCATGAGCCCTTATAGTGATTGTACAGGAATATACAGTGTATATATATATATATATATATATATATATATATATATATACACACATACACCGTATTTTTTGCTCCATAAGACGCAGCTAGATTTTATAGGAGGAAAACAAGAAAAAAGATATTCTGAACCAATGGTTTGCAGACATAGTACAGGAGATGACCAGAGACTGCGGACAAAGTATAGGAGATGACCAGAGACTGCAGACATACTACAGGAGATGACCAGAGACGGCGGACATACAACAAGAGATGACCAGAGACTGGAGACATAGTACAGGAGATGACCAGAGACGGCGGACATACAACAAGAGATGACCAGAGACTGCAGACATACTACAGGAGGTGACCAGAGACTGCAGACATACTACAGGAGGTGACCAGAGACTGCAGACATAGTACAGGAGATGACCAGAGACAGCGGACATAGTACAGGAGATGACCAGAGACAGCGGACATAGTACAGGAGATGACCAGAGATGGCGGACATACTACAAGAGATGACCTGAGACTGCAGACATAGTATAGGAGATGACCAGAGACAGCGGACATAGTACAGGAGATGACCAGAGACTGCAGACATAGTACAGGAGATGACCAGAGACTGCGGACACACTACAGGGGATGACCAGAGACAGCGGACATACTACAAGAGATGACCAGAGACTGCGGACATAGTACAGGAGATGACCAGAGACGGCGGACAAACTACAGGAGATGACCAGAGACTGCGGACATACTACAGGAGATGACCAGAGACGGCGGACATACTACAAGAGATGACCAGAGACTGCGGACATAGTACAGGAGATGACCAGAGACGGCGGACATACTACAGGAGATGACCAGAGACTGCGGACATACTACAGGAGATGACCAGAGACGGTGGACATACTACAGGAGATGACCAGAGACTGCGGACATACTACAAGAGATGACCAGAGACTGCGGACATAGTACAGGGGATGACCATAGACAGTGGACATACTACAGGAGATGACCAGATATTGTGGACATAGTACAGGAGATGACCAGAGACTGCAGACCTTTGGGGAGCGGCGGGTTCTTGAATTTGACAGGAACCCGATCCCAATTCGGCGAAGTTGTCCCCACCCCCTCCACGTAGTCTTGTGGGACACGTGACAGGTCCCAGAAGACTAAGGATCCATTCACAAAGCGCAACGCTTCTCACGAATGCGCAATGGGGACCCAGCTGTGAAGCCGCAAGCTGTCAAAGCTGGATGCCCACACCGAAGATGCCGGTGCCAGGGAGAGAAGATGGCCGGTGGAAGCAGAACACCGCTGGGCAGGGGAACAGGTAGAACCGAGGAGCAGGTTCTTCTGCATAGTAGAGCTGGCCCGGTATTCTAACATGGCAGCGGCGACAGGGTGAATACCAGGCTGGCCGCTCCATAATCGCTCCAAAATATATATATTTAATTATCATTATTATTTTTTTTAATTAAAAAAATGTTATACTTACAGTACCAGCTTTGTGCAATGGTATTGCACAGAACAGCCCCAATCCACCTCTTCTGGGGTCCCCTGCTGGCACTCCCCACTCCTACTCTTCACAATGTGCTCCCATAGGAAGCTGCTTCCTATGGGGGTGAACCTGTGCCAGGCTGTGTGTGTCTATTGACACAGACAGTGTGACTCAGCTCCATCCCCTCTCCCTCCTCACATCATTTGATTGACAGCAGCAGGATACAATGGCTCCCGCTGACGTCTCTGAGCCTGTGAGCACAGCGGTGGATCGATCTAGGACTCAGGTAAATATTTAGGGGGGGCTTGGAGGGTTTTTTTAGCTGAAAGTAAAAAAAAAAACTTCTAAAAAATCACTTTAATGAGTTGATAATCTTCACTGAATAAATTGAAGCTGTGTTCACTTTGTTTCAGAAACGTTTTCATTGGATTTTTCGGAAATTGATAAAAAGATACAGGGCTTAAGGTAGTATACACATGAATGTACCAGTACAGTAAGTCATGAGAGAAAAATAATATAAAACAGTTACAATCCAGTAGACAATGTACCAAAATATATCCAAATAATTATAAGAAAATGCCGCACCCCAAAAATTACAATTATCTCCTGCTAATTAATAAAACTTGATTATAAATGACTGTGACAGAAACAATTCAGTACTGTCTGTGATACTTTTTTTATTTGCGCTAACATACAATTTTAAGGACAAGCTTTCGGGGAATGTCCCCTTCTTCAGGTCTAAGCAGTACTGAACACAAATTTAGCAGAATGTTGGAAGAGATGTAGGGGATGGGGAGGAAAAAAAAAAGAGAGATAACACACAGCAAAAGAGAAGTCTGGGGGGGGGGGGGGTGTAAGACAACACTCACAGAGGCAGTCATGCTTGAGGTGATAAAACTGTTGGATAATGATTGAGGAATCCCATTTCCAAATTCAAGCTGTTATCTCTTGTGTCAAATAGAATTATCATTCTTAGTTCAACAGTTTTTCTTTCCTGAATGGATTTGAAATTTCCTTTAAGAACTAAAATGTTGAGGTCTCCCAAAGTGTGGTCCGGTTGTGCGAATTGGTGTCCCACAGGTGTGCAAAGGTCATCTTCTTTATGTTCCTTGATGGTATGTCTGTGCAGATTCATTCTTGTTTGCAACTTCTGTCCTGTTTCGCCAACATAAGATCCTTTGCTACATTTTCTGCACTGGATAAGGTACACATTACTGGAGGTGCAGCTGTATGATCCGGAGATATTAAAGATCCCTTTTGAGTGTCTGACACTTTTTGATGGATTGATTTGGTTGCAAATGACCGTGACAAATAAATAGAAACTGAAATGTGATAAATAAATTAATTATACTTAAATCCACTGTGCCATATTCAATAATATTAGTAAATTAATAAATTCAATATAAGGATGAAACAATATATATAAGTGATTGTCCCATGAAATATTTTGTATGCCACACAAAGTTTCAATCTGTGCTTCAATTTTGACATTCATATGCGCTCACCTCCTTGTAAGCCTAATTATAGGCAAACATAACTTTGTATCCAAATAGATTGTGGTCTACTATGTTCTGTGGCTGGATACTTCAGGGTGGGATGGACCTTGGATATCCCCTATGTTCTCCTGGGCAGATCACTGCTTGTGTGCTATTATGGTTGTCAGGATCTCTCCCTCCTTACATTGCAGGATTTTGCTCTGTCCCTCTGCTTCTCTCTTCAAGTATCCCTCGTTTTGGCAGTAAAAAAGAAAAGGGATATAGTGCCTTTTCATTTTAAAATTAGTTTATTCAGTGCCCCATATACTGATGCACTCACATGATATAAAATTTAACACGCTTTGTATACATAAAAATCGCTTGGTTCAAAAGTGGAAAGCCTCCTCTGTGTGTCTTCCACACACAGACTATACTCGCCATCTGTAGCTGGGTACATGGTGATGTAGCTATATCTATCACATCCCCCTGAGGAAGCCACGTCACCCTGTGACACAACGCGTAGGGGAGGGGATTGAAACTTCGTGTGGAATACAAAATAGTTTATGGGACAATCACTTATATATATTGTTTCACCCTTATATTGAATTTATTTAATTTACTAATATTATTGAATATGGAACAGTGGATTAAAGTATAATTAATTTATTTATCACATTTCAGTTTCTATTTATTTGTCACGGTCATTTATATCCAAGTTTTATTAATTAGCAGGAGATAATTGTAATTTTTGGGGCGCAGCATTTTCTTAGAATTATTTGGATATGGTTCAATTACACATATTAATGAGGATGTGTCTAATGCCAGCAAATCATAAAAATAACATAGCATATTGTTTTATTTGTTTGTGGCTCACAAGTAATTCACACAATTTTTGTTAATGTACCAAAGTATAATTGGGATGTATTGGAGTGGTGTGGGATGAGGGGTGTATTTCCAGGAAAGGTCACCTCTCAGAGAAACTACATGGTGGACTATGACTGAGAGGGGAAGGGTAGAATGTGTAGGCCACGGTAGGAGATGGCCGTATAATGTAGAGCTCCAGGACCTGCCCGCATACACAGCGGTTCACCGCGACGAGGGACAGAGCTGACAGCTCCCTCTCTGCCTGGCACCTGTATGAGGAGTGTGGGACCCAATCGGTAAGATGGGGAAACGTAAGATCAAAGAGGGGCCCCGCAAAGTCACGGAGTTCTTCACTCCGGCGGAGGGCCACTCATCCTCGCAAGATGGCGCTGGTCCCAGTACCTCTCCCTCACCACAGCCATATATGGCAGAGGAGAGGCAGCGTTCCCGTCCACAGCCTCCCAGCCCTGCAATCTCGGCAATATCAGCAGGAACTACACCTGCCAGCAGCCCTTCAAAGCAAACACAGCGCAGCTCCCTGGAACCACAGTTGACTGGTGAGCATGCCACTGATTCCTTTTCTCACAGAGCGCATAGACTGCCGAAACCTTCCTTTCTCCCTGACCATGTCCCCAGGGATGTCATCGCTAGAATCCACTTTTACCATGCGAAGGAGTCGCTGATGGCATTTGCGAGAATGCACAATCCCTTACCGGCGCCGTATAATGGGATATCTTTGTTCGCTGACCTCTCCCAGTATACCATTCTTGCCTGTAAAAAATGAATCTCTTCCACAAAGTTACTCCGCAATAACAATATAAAATACCAATGGGGATTTCCCACAAAATTGCTGATAACTAAGGATAACCTTTTACTGACTGTCACCTCAGAAGTAGAAGGATTTCAGCTTGCGCAGAAATGGGGGATTGTACCCGCGGAAGGAGATATGTCGACCGCTAAATCCTCCCATAGAAAAGTTTCTTTTGAATGGGACAGAGTGGCAGAATGAGGCACTACTCAGTAGTGTTGCGTTTTGATAGGGCTGAGGGAGGGCTCCGCCTCTAGTCCAACACAGCATTTATTTGGTGGGTGTGTTTGCTATCAGATCCCGGAGGTTACCCCCAACTTGTTGCAGTGACTTGTTTCAACTGCTCTACCTTATTGTGTGTTGTTTTTATTGTTTATTTCCCATTTTCCTTTCTCTCTATTTCTTATGGTCTTCCTAACAGAGTATCGGCAACTGCTTTATCTCAGGAATTCTTATGGGTCATTGAATTGTCTTTGCTGCCGGGGCTGTCAGTGCATACGCTCCAGGGAGAGTTGGTACTTGTGAGTGGTTTTGTACAAGCCAACATTGATGTGCTGTTAATATCTTTCAGGCCACTAGATGGTGAACATGTCATATCTATTTTGTATGTTTTAAAATGGTATTGAATGTTGTATCTATTAATGGTCATGGCCTTAACAACCCATTTAAACGTAGCATGTTGTGGAAGGAGGTGAAGAATCTACATGGGGATGTTCTTTCTGTGCAAGAAACTCATTTCTCAGCACTTTAGGCCCCGTGCTGTTCCCATAAATTGTTTCCTCATTTGTTTACAGCTAATGCCCCCCAGAAAAAATGTGGGGTCCTGATTGCTGTTAAACAGTCCATAGCATTCTCTCTTCTTTCCCTGGAGAGAGATAGGAAGGGCAGGTTTTTAATAATGGTGTGCGAACTTAATAATGCTCTTTATACAATTGTGAACCTTTATGCTCCCAATACTAACCAAATTTCATTTTTTAACTCACTACGGAAAAAAGTTTACAAAATTCTGAAAGGCTATCTACTTTATTGTGGCGATTTCAATACTATTGTCCATAGATCTTTAGATGTTTCAGGGCAGTCACGGGGAGGGTGGTGTTTGATGGTGTCGACCCTTCGGGAGTCTAATCTATATGATCCCTGGAGGTGTCTTCATGATTCAGAGAAAGATTTTACGTATTATTCATCCCCGTATAAATCCTATTCGAGAATAGATTATTTCCTGACCGATCTACAACTTCTTCAACATAAAACCAAAGCGGCCATTCACCGTATGACGTGGT